TTTCTAGAATTAGCCCGAGTATTGTAGCGATGAGACAACTTGTTGACTGAACGAAGAAGAGAAACAAGTAAGACACATGGGAATGAACAGGAATGCAAAAATATGTGCAAAATGATGCATGATATGCAATGCATATGATTTATTGTGTTTATTCAAGGAACTCAAAGAATCATAAACAATTGCAAATATTGAAGTACTAACACATATGGAAATATTGAAAAATTCTCATTTTAATAATAATTTTGGAACGAATTACAACTTTTAGTACAATTTTCAATAATCCTAAATACAAGATAATATAAATAGAATTTATAAAATCCTAAGGAGCCAAAGCTGATGAAGATCTCTCGACACGTTGACGCTTCCCCTTGAGTCTTGCAATCTGAGCCTTCAACTGCTTATTCTTTTCTACATACTTGTCAACGACTTCTTTCCATTCACCTGAATCAGAAAATAAGTTACCGGGACCGGGCTAAACTCTAGAGGAAAATAATTCCTCTTGCTTCTCCATCATCTCCACAACATGACTCTCAAGAATCTCAATCAAGTCATCCTTCTCTTTCAATTCTATTGAGTATGACATCTCCAAAGTTTGGTACTTGTTCTTCCATTCTTCTTTCTCTTGTTGCAACCTAACTAAGGCAAGCTGAAGTTCTTCTACATCATCTAAGAGAGGAGGATGAGTCCTCACAAACATATCAGATATAGGTTCCTCACGAGAATAAGGCATCTTTAACTGAATCGCCCTTTCTTTTACCCATTGTACCTCAAAATTTTCCCCCCCATTTCAAAACATCTCCTCATTCTCTTAGGGTTCACAATTGCTCAAAGACTACTCAAGAATTGATCATATGAATCCTCCTCCTAAGGAATGGCCTACAACTATGGTTTTGGTTTTCTCAAAGAAAAATGAACTTCTAATGCCTCAAGTGAATCTCATGGTTCCCCATATGCTTCAAAGAATCCCAATGTTAAGTTTCAAGCCTTACATCACAAATTTGCTCAGTCAATTGCTCAGATGATTGAAAATTAATTGATTGGGTAAAAAGTCAACTGTGGTCAACATACATTCAAACTTTATGATTTTTGGTCAACATCAATATTTTGAAGTTACATTCATCATTTGATCAAAGATTGATCATGATTCATCAAGAAAACTCAAAGATTCATCAAAAGTCAAAAGTTGTTAAATTAGGGTTTTCTTTAGGAGAAGTCAACTAAATTTTGACCAAGCATAACTTTCACATACTTCAGTAGAAAATTTTCTACCAAGGCCTATCTAAAAGGGAATTCAATTATCTACAACTTTGTCTCTCTAAGCTCAAGGCCAAAAAATGCTTCATTTGAGAGATATGAGCCAAAACATTACAGTTCATTTTAAAAGTCAACAAAAAGATACTTTTTGTCAAAGCAATTTACATCAAGATAAATATTCAAATGGAAAATGATTAACATGAGAGTTGTAGGAGACATCTTGGTCTTTCCAAAAAGTCAAATATCACCTTCATATGACAAAAATTGAGCAAGTTATGAGTTGCACAAGTTGGGTAATTTTGTGAAATTACATGAAACCACAATCGAAATATTTTGGGCTTTTGGACTAATGGGCCTAATTTTTGAAGTTCAAACATGTTCATGACATGTTAGGGGACCCCCAAAACCATTCACATATTTTTTAATAATTTTTATTTCTTTTATTTGAATTATCATTCATTTAAATGCAAATTAAATCAAATAAATAGTAAATGTAGGTATAAGGCATAAAAGGCTTTTATTTCAAATCTTTTGGAGGCCCAAGATATGCTACAAACCGTGTGGGAGTTATTTTGAAAACAAATCTTCATGTTTTGTCTTATTCCAATTCTATTTTGAAACAAGAATCAAAGTGTTCTACAAAGAGGTCCAAGCCCATTTTTCTTGCCTAATCTTCTCTTATATATATCCTTCATGTTCAGAAAATAGGAGAATGAAAAACTTGCCTCAATAACACTCAGCAAAAATCTCAAATTTTGTCAAACTAGGGAAAACTTGCAATCCTATTTCCAGCCACTTTTAAAGCAAAGCAACCGTTCAAATTAATCACTGAGGTGTTATAGGGTAAGACTTTATCGTTCTTGATGATCAAAGAAGCTTGAAACATGCACTACATACATTCACGGTTTCACTATTTTTTCCAAATTCATATTTTATTTTTTATGCTGTTTTGATTGAAACTAACCATGCTAATATGTTCTTGAGATGTAATAGAACAAGTCTGGACCATCGCATGAGTCCCATGATTCCAGGATCATACTGTTGCACCCCAAAATTTGCCCTCCTAATTTCTTATATTTGGCTTAGGCTTAGCATTGCATTCATATCTTCTCATTAGGTCATTAACATACATTTGCATTCAATAAAGCGCTTGAGGTTCGAAGTTCAGTGGTTGCGCAATATTAGGGTTTTGCAGCGGTTAAGGTGTTCGTATCCAATAAAGCCAGGCTTTTCCGATTATCCTTCAAGCAGTGAAATGTGGAATTTGGATTGCAACCTATGCTTATTGAGGGTTCTGTTCTCTTCAAATATTAAGTACTTGTTCAGATGCATTCAAGACAAGAGTCGGTGTTTTTCTCCACCAAATTTGTGCTTGTCAGCATTTCATCAACTGAGGTTCATTAGGTTTTTTAAGTTATGGCCATCTTGGTCATATTTCTTTATGTATTCCCATGTTCATTTCCAAGTTATTCTACGAGGTCATCTAAGGGCTACTAGATCAGACATTCATTATCTCCATGTGTTCAACATCATCCTTTGATTAGAGTTTATTTCTCTAAATCATGTACCATTCAAGAGAGGTTTCTCTATGAAGTTATGATTATCAGGCAAGGCTATCATCAGGGGATGTTGTCCATGAATAACCAGGGTTTCAATTGATATATCTTTCGAAAATAAGAAGGAAATCATTGCTTGAATCTCTAGTCATGTGGGCAATAACTCTATTCTAGAAAAGAAGATTCAGTTGGACCTTCTTCACGAATTAGGGTTCGTATGCCTTATAATGCAAAGCTCTTCATCTGGTCGATTGGCTTACTTGCGATATAATCTATTTTCTTCGATTTCATTTCAATTCTTTGAAGATCAAAATCTAAAAGCTTTGTATGGAATTTTAGTATTTATATCCTATCATACTCGGGTTTATTAACATCTTCAATGGAGGTTCATGGGATGATAAGGCGTGATATAAGGATGGCATTGTAAATTCATTAAGATCAAGGCAGTTTGGTTCTCTTATTGTTTGTTATAAAATATTGATGGGGATCAACGTGTTGGATCCATTCTCTCACGAAGGACAGAGGGTGATGTTAGGGACCATTTGGTTCATGGTCATCAATTGAAGATTGGGCTCACTTCATGGCCTATGATATAGGTCATTTGCTTTAGGGTTCATTCAAGAAGGTGGAATTCTAATTACAGAGTTTGCTTTGGATTGTTCCAAGAGAAATATCACGGGAATTCAAGTTTTGTTCAAGAATTGGATTAAATTTCATTTACCAAGCATGCAAGGTTAGAAAGGGATTCATGTGGATTTCGTGAGAAACAAGTTATTTGGAATTTAGAGCAAATATCAAGTTCATGCATGTACAAGGGTATTCAATAATTATTCAAGGCTATTTCAAATTTCAAGATCACAAATCCAAATTTCAAGATCATAAATCCAAATTTCAATTCACTCATCCAAGTTCAAATTCCAAGTTTAACATTCATTATTCAAGTTTTACAATGTCTAAACATCATACAAAAATACTACACAAACTTTTGTTCTAAGCCTAAAATCTTAATAGCCTAACATCTTCATGTTTCCATGTTCATGAGAAGTAACCATATTCAAAATTCTCTTTCGCTTAGCCCAAACTACAAACTGTTTTGCCTCGGTATCTCTTTAGGCCATATTCAATATCTCATGCCCTCTTCTTGAATTTTCCTTGAACTCCAATTTTAAGCCTTCTTATAATTATAAGCTCTACCCTGTCAAATTAACCAAACAATTTTGCATAAGTTCACATGCAGTCTGGTTTCCAAATTAATCATGAAGCAAAGTGGTTAAATTGGTTCATACCTATTTCGGTCCATGGCAAAGATAATCAAACTGTACCTATGCCATTATAAACCTGCAGAATTTCTGAATTCCAAAAAAAACACAATTAACAGCCCATTGATATATAGCAGTTCACAGGAAAAAAATTTAAAAAAAAGTCTCTTAATAGAATTCATAACAGTTTTTCATAACAGCATCCAATTTGTAACTACCTCTAACTAACTCTAAAAAACTGTCTCCTAACCTATTTCCAACTAACTTCCAAAACAACCAACCTTCAACCAAACTCCTAACCAGATACCAACTACCAAACCATCAAACTTCCTCTAACATACTAACTGTTTTATAACCGAATTCAACAAACCCTCACCAACTGTCATAACAGAAATATAAGTCCAATTAACTACCGATTATAACCGAACGAATCCTCACCTTTCACTTTCTAACTAACTAATCAGAATCAAAGGTTGAGATTCACTTACCTGTAACAAACTCTAACGACATATATAAACCTTCTTCTTTATCAATCTTCGGGGATTCTTCAATCATTTTGGAAGAATCACACAAAATTCACAAGAAAAATTGAGAAACTCTATGCAATCTTCAACTTTCTCTCCTCCTCTCATCTTCATCTTGAAGAATCACCGAAAGACCAGAAAACTCTCCAGTCTCTCCGCTCCTTGTCCTTAATCTTCCAATTATCCACATCAGGAATTAACACCGGCTCATCATTTCTCAGTATCGCATCTCCAAGCCAAGACTTTCCACTTCATCATCGTCACCGTATCAGTTCTGCAACCGACACATGGAATCTATATAACAACTTCATCTTCATCGCATCTTCGGCGAATCGTATTACAACTGATTTTCTTGTGAACGATAACATTATTAGATCTGCATCACGCGTTGAACTCCACAACAATTCATGAAAGCAAGAACACGGAAGAATGGAGAATCGCAGGAGACGAAGAAGAACAGAACTCTCGGAGAGGAAACACACCTGATATTTGTTCACAAAGCTTCTGTCAGATTCTGCATTCTCGACATTTTCAAAGAAGACGCCGGAGCTACTCCGATAGGTAAACGTTATCCTCTCACCTCCTTCACCATTTCGTCCTTTCCTATTGCAACTTCTTGTATAGCATGGTCTTTTAGGCGAGGTAGTCGATATAGTTTGTTATAGATATTTGTGGTTTTGTTACGAATTTGGTTAGGCGGAGAAAATTAAGTGAGATGATAGTGATGATGAAGTCAAAGTAAGAACAGAACGAGACATAAGAATGGGGCATCAGGGCGACGACATTTGGGAGGATGGCCGCCGTTCGCAGTTTGTTGATGTTGAGAGAAAAAGGGGTTCTTTGCTCATGTTAGGAGTTCAATAGCCACAAGAAAACAACCCTAATCCCTTCTCGATTTTATTTTTATTTTTTTTACTTTTATTTGTTTTTTTAATATATGCTGAAAGGAAACTAGTGGATTGACATAGTGTTACTGGGCTACATGAAAAAAAATATCTCCTTGGCCCACGAATCCTGTTTTTGATAGCCTGAAATTTAAACACAAAAAAAAAATGGCTTGCTGAACTACAAGTTGAATGGGCCTAGCACCTTGTTTCGATTACACCACCTGTTCCCCATACCCATCATTGGTTGTTTTTGGCAGCTTGGATAAAGCTGAATAAAAAAAGAGCTCTTGGACCCTAAATTCTGGGCCTATGCGCCTATTGCACTACACTCTCCCTTTTGAGCCTGTTTTTTGCAACAAAAACAAAACTATGGAGCATTTCTGTTGGGCCTTATCGCCAACTTACTCTACAGCACACCCTGATTCAAATTCTCACCCCTCCTGTTTAGAATTTTAGAGTTTTCCTTAGGTTTTCTTGTTCTTTTTTTAATAAAAATTGGCGATTTTAGTAACTAATAAGGACAACAAAAAAATGTAGAATTTAGGATTTCTTTTAATTCTTTTTCTATATTTTATTTTTTGTTATGATAAAAAATTACAAAATAAATAAGACTTGCTAGTTTTTTCTTTAGTAATTAGTAACTAATTCTATAGTTTTGACAGTTTTATTTTTCGATAATAAAAACAATAAAGAATAGTGGAATATAATAGAATTTTTTTTAGAATTTCTTTTGTAGGAGTTGTTTAGAATTTTCTATTATCAATTATGTTAGTAATCATTTTGTTACGCGAGACTTGCGATTCACCTTTGCTTGTTGAGATTTGAGTTTTATGCAGGTTTATAATGTGATATTCAGATATGCTTGGCGCACCTTCCGCTTGTGATTTATTTTCCCATCGACGATACTTTGACACTTATTCCGAGCATTTGATTTCTGAATATTTTCTTTGATTGTTGAATCTTTCGTGAAGATCGTCGGGTTTCTTTGTTTTGATATGCTTTGCTACAGATTGATATCCGTTTGTTAAGATTTTGTGATAGTATTGATGCAACTTTCGCGACGGGCATTGCTTGGAAATTAATTCTTTGATCACTCGCGCGGAGCAGCTTTTGGTAGAGTTTTCTTATGGCTTGTGTGTTTTTGAAGAGGAAACGGACTTTCTTCGTTCGGTATCATCGCGACCTTAATTTATCCTTCATTTCCGTACTTTATCGCGTTTCTTTACTGTTTTTCTAGAAATCATGAGAAACCGGGCTTTACCGCAAACCATATACAAGCTAACATTAGGTAGAGATTTCCCCTTTTCATCCAAATCTTAGGGCCACCATTGTATGATAACTTTAGGTTTAGAAATAGGCTAGTCTCCCCTTGACTTTTCTTTCCCCTCTTTGCATATGCATCTAAAACAAAAAACTTCTTTTTCTCACAAACTTCAAAATACTTAAAAAATTTACTGACGAGAATCGTACCTTTGTTAAGCATGAGAGATGATAAGCGGGTTTCTTCTCGACCTTATTGTTCTCTTATTATAAGCTTTGGTATGGTTCAAGTCTCAAAGACTTATTTAAGGAATAAGTGGAGAAATGGCTAAAATCTTTCTCTTGAGGTCAACTAACCGTTATCTACGAGCAAAAACACCAACAAACACAAACTCTTTTTGCCTTTGGGATTTTCTCTAAAAGGTTTTTCAAAAAGAACATGTTAATTCACTTTTGTGTTGACGCGTAAGTCTCCAAAGGTCGAGTTGCGGCATAACATGAAATTAATATCGTTCATTTAAAACACAAACCAATTCAAATCTTTTTGTGCGCCCAAGCACCTTTTCTCCAAACTTTTTCAAAAGAGCATGTTAATTCACTTCTGTGCTGACGCGTAAGTCTCCAAAGGTCGAGTTGCGGAAGAAGGCGGAATTAATACTGTTCATTAAGAAATACAAACCAACAAAAACATATGAGCCGAACTACGGCTGCTCTGATTCCTTAAAACGGATACGTAGGCATTGGGGTAGGGCCCAAGCGAGCACAATTTTATTTTCCCTAGATTCTTTTCCCCTTTCTTTTGCATGCATCCTCCCTTTAGCAGTAGTATAGTAGATAATAAGCATAGATTGAACACACCCATAAGATAGATAACAAGAGTTGATACCGTAGAGTACTACGGGCGTATGGGGTGCTAATACCTTCCCCTCAGATAACAGACTCCCTTACCCGATATCTCGGTCGCAAGACCGTGACTTCTCCTTTCTGAGGTTTTCTCGATGTTTACCTTTCCCTTCACGTGGTATAAAAGACGTTCGATGGCGACTTCATTGTTTGATGATTTTCAGCCGGTTGTTTCACATACATCACCATGTTTATGCCATTTTGGATTATTTTGATTATATCTCACTGTGCAGGACGTTTTATCCAAAACTATGGCCACCAATGAGTTTGCAGCCCTCAAATTAGGGGGTAGGGTATTTCTTGATCATTAACATTTTTTATTTTGCTGGTTATAAGCATCACCTCGTCGGAGAAGACGACCACAACTAAGGCTCCAACACTTCTCCGGTGCATTAATTTTGTTTGATAATATATTTATTTTGTTTCATTAGATTACCGGGTGAAATAACCACCCCATGGGAAAGAACACGCACGCTAAGGCTTTAGTATACAAGGGCGTGGGTTCGATCCCTGCTGTAATACAGTGGGAAAACTGACTTGGTTTGTTTTGCATTTGATTACAATTATTGTGAATAGCAAGAGTCGCCACCGACTTTTCTTTTATCCAATAAGGAAAGGGTGAAAAGAATAGTAAATACCTTTGAGATTTTTTCTTGAGTTTGGGGGGTAGGTTATGAAAAGGGAAGGTGTTAGCACCCTTTTCATCCGTAGTTATCTACGGGCTCTTAGTTTCTTGCTAGATCACTTGCTTTATTTGAAAATGTGTTTGTGGTGGATTTTGAAAGTATTTTTGAAAAACGCCTTCGTTTAGGCAAACTTTGTAATGATTCTCATCTCTATAAGAATGTATACAAAGTGTTGGACTTTTTGAAAATATTTCATGTATTTGAAAGTGCTTGGTGTGTTTGAAAAATGTTTGTTTTTTTAGAATAGATTGTCAGAAAGCAACTAAGAACGTTCTACCTTACTCAAAATTCTTTCGTTCATTTCTCTCTTCTTTTGATATATCTATCTTACCATTGATTAGTAAGAAGCCTTATCTTTGGATGTAAAGGGACGGGCATGGGTCAATTATATAGTCATAGAAAGCAGCCTATGAGACGTTTTAGCAATTTTTCGTTTAGGGACTATATCGTTTACCGAAGGAAACATTGAGGGACATCGAGGAACTACAATCTTTTTTATCGAGGGACTTTTGCTAAAAATGCCCATATTCGAGGGACATGACTATTTTCCGAGGTAAAAACTGATATTACCTAGAGGTGCATATATGTGAAAAGTGTGTTCGATTGCATGCATTTTTGTCTTTGAATTTAAAGGTTATCTATTTGTTGATTTTATCTTGCCATATAGCCTAATTACTAATAAGTAAGTAATAAAAATGCAAAGAATAAATCCTAAGCTATTGCAACCATAAAAAAATAAAAATAAAAAGGAAAAGTGAGTCTTTCGACCCAGACAGTACGCTCCTTCGATTCACCCTATTTCAGCTTCTTTCAATTGGGCCTGTAAAACAAAAATGAATGTATCCTTCGACCACACCCCTTTTTCTGCTTACTTCGACTGGACCTGCAAAGAAAAATGAATATATGCTTCGACCGTACCCCTTTTTCTGCTTACTTCGATTGGACCTGCAAAGCAAAATGAATATATGCTTCGACCATACCCCTTTTTCTGCTTACTTCGACTAGACCGACAAAGAAAAATGAATATATGTCCTTCGACCACACCTCTTTCGTTTTAGATAACAACATGGGGTGAAGCCTAAAAGATTTCTACCCACGCAACCTTCTTCCTGTCTTCTTTCATTTGGGGACTAAGTAGCAGCATGAGGTGAGGCCATGGTAATATTACTTCATGGCCAGATAAATTCTTAAAAAATATATTTGATAAATAAATAAAGAAAACAAACCAAAAGACTTAGCAAAAAAAGCAAACGAAGAAGGTGAAAACGAAGACAAATAAAAAGGCAATGATAATGCTTGAAACAAAAAGAAATGATTATTCACATGTTGTGCTTGAAACGAAAGGTTAAGGTCAAGAGAAAGTACCTTTCTTGAAGCTGGAATGTGGGAAATGGACTTGAGTTGTTTCCCTGGGTGTTCTTGAATTCTAAAGGGAAGAAACAAACGTGGTGTTTCTTTGGCTAGATTCGACAACCAAGAAAAGTTGATTTGTGTTTGTTTATTTATGGATTTTACATAAACAAGTGTGGTGTTTCTTCAAGTTCTGGGTTTGGGATGGTGTTAAATATTTGAGAGTTTTTGACGATTCTTTTCAAACAGCCAAAAATCTTCTTCAGCGTTCTTCTTTTTTCTTTTTCTTTTTTTAGCCCCTTTGATGTGCAAATGAACTCTCTATTTATAGAGAAAATTTTTGGAATGAGCAGCTTTGTGAAGTAATAAAATATAGTTTCTTGAGAGGCCAACATCCACTTATGTCAACTTTTTATAATCCCATGATAAAAGTACTAAAATCAATGGTTGAGATGGGTGGCTCCTAGTTTATAGGGGGCAAGTGTGCAGAAGAGGCAGGCACAAGGCTCAAGAACTTCCTAAAAAGGTAGTGATGTCATCAAGAGCAAGTTGGCTTGAAGAACAATTAAATATGGAGTGAGGAACAAGTTGGGGGCCTGTGTAGCCTGACCTATGGACAACTTGACTCTTTGAATCGAATCTTTCATTTTTACATAGCCTTCGACCAGACTTAACAAAGAAGCATTCGTTTCCACCAGTTGTGTGTCCTTCGAATGGGCCAACTGGGTGTTCTTCGAATGGGCCTCTTCAGCTGAATATGCCACTGAATCTTCTTACT